TGAAAAACAAATGAACGAATGATACACGGATTGTACGTCCCTTATTTTTGATTATTGTGTTTGTTGCTGTTTAGAGTGGCAACGCTGGAATAAAGTGAGGAAGAGGAACAACAACTAGCCTGGTGACACTCATTTCTCCATGACTGAGATGATTGCTCTTTGAATCACTGTCCACACCTACTCATACGAATGCACTTACTTTTAAGAGGTAAAACACAAGCCTTACAGGACTCTTTGGTGGTAAAGCTCAAGCCTAACTCACAGAACTTGTTTAAAAGCTACACAAACTTCACCATACTATTTTAAAAGTTTAAAACATGAGTCTATGTCACAGAACTCCTTTAAGAAGTAAAAGTACCTCAGAGACCTATTTTAAGAGTTAAAACTATGGAGTAAGAACGCTTTTAGAAATATTTGTGTGCATAGAATCTGTGCATATTTGGGAAATCCGTGCATATTTGTCTGTGGTTGAGCATAAAATAAATATTCGTAAAATCTCGAATGCGTCCAGTCGTACATAAAATATACTGTGTGTATTTTATCCATCAGAATACGAACTGAAAAGTTACGACATCAAGAATTACAATCACGAAATGAAAATTTACAATTACGCTTTCTTCAGTACGAATATGAATTCACAGACCCGACTGTCAAAAATACATCACTTCACAAGCAGAAGAAACATCAATCGAGATGCATGGTTACATGGTTTAATCATGTTTTAGTCCTGGTTCAGTCCTGGTTTAGTCCTGGTTTAGTCCTGGTTGAGTCCTGGTTGAGTCCTGGTTTAGTCCTGGTTTAGTCCTGGTTTAGTCCTGGTGTAGTCCTGGTTTAGTCCTGGTTTAGACCTGGTTTAGTCCTGGGATCAGTTCTGGTTTAGACCTGGTTCAGTCTGTATGCGGCCCAAAAGTCCGGTATCTCGATTGATGTTTCTTCTGCTTGTGAAATGATGTTGTATTTTTGACAGTCGAGTTGTGTCTGTGAATTTGTATTCGTACTGAAGAAAGTGTAATCGTAAATTCTCATTTCGTGATTGTAAGTCTTGATGTTGTAACTTTTCAATTTGTATTCTGATGGATAAAATGCACACAATACATTCTATGTATGACTGGACTAATTTGAGACTTTACAAATATTTATTTTATGCTCAACTACAGACAAATATGCACGGATTTCTATCCTATGCACAAGAATATTTCTAAACCAGGACTGATCCCAGGACTGAACCAGGAGGACTAGATAGTTTTTTCCCCCAAATGTTGCCATTGACTGAAATTCTTACTGAGGTATAGTTCTATAGACAGTAGATAATACATTCCAGTAAATCTATATGCTGTAGATATAATTTCTTTTTGATAGAACATATACATGTACCTCACAGGACTAGGAAAAAACAGCTTACCTACAGTTTCTTCCCAAATGTTGTAACTGATGCCTATTTTCGACAAGTTCTTACTGATGTGTATTTTCACAATTGTCTTAATATACATTTTCAAAATCTTGGAAAAGTGTGTTTTACAAATGTTGTTATTGATACATACTTTTAGATGTTCTTAGTGATGCATATTTGCAAACAGCAGAGAATACACTGGAGTAAATTTATACTTAAACTGCCTTTTGAGAGCATATAAGCATTCCTTAATTCTTTCTAGGTTAAACACTCATTTCCTTTGTATTAGTCGCCTCAGTGTTTGGCCCAATTGGTTGATCCAAGGTAAAGTTCAGTATGGTATTTGTTAAACAATAGTATGGAAACAGTTACAACTTTTTTGTGCTTTCATGTTTGGTAAGGTCTCTGACATGCAATCTGAGAATTTTTTGTTAATTGCCATTGCATCCTGCAGACACTATTTGGCTATTTTTATTTTGCTACTCAGAATCTCTTTGGCTTGTCATGTAACATTTTTTGTTTATTATTATTATTATTATTATTATTATTATTATTATTATTATTATTATTATTATTATTTTGTATTATTACAGTAACAGTATTCATATTGACAATGCCTGTGTGATTTATATCCTTTGTAAATTGTTTATTGGTTATTATGCATAGGTTTAAGGAATAGTCCACAGAACAATTTTAATTTTGATTGCAGTGAATTTTGAGATTTTAGATATTCTAAAGTGCTGAGTCACTGTATTATGCCTGGCTACAGTAAACATTTAGTAACCCAAGGACGTTGTAAATTAAAATAATCACTGAAATACTGCATTTTATTTTTACTGTAATAGGTTATGATCTGTGAATTGGTCAACAGTATGGAAACTACAAAATTACAGTATATTGGAGGATCTCTGCTGCCAGTAGTTAATTGTAAATAAAAAATTTAAAAAAAGCACACATATATATTGTATTTCACCAAAACAATAATAAGCTGTAAAGTCAAATTACTAAATAACAGTAAAGTGCTGGCGTCTCTGCTGCCAGAACTTTACTGTAAATTTAAAAAAATACAGAAATATACTGTAATTCACTATTACAGCAATATGCCGTGAGGTGAATTCACAGTACAAATACTGTAAAATAACAGTATTGTGCAGGCGTCTCTGCTGCCAGCTCTTTACTGTTATTTTACAGAGAAATTCTTTACAGTGTATATAAAAATGCACTATGTAATATTGCTCGTATCCATGGAGATGTTATTGCTTTCCCAGGATTGTTCCACAGTTCCACAGCATTAAACATTGCATTTTCCATGAGACAAGCAGGTTACACCACCAGGCCAAGTTACAGGTCAGATCTATGGAGAGGCGACCCCACTCACAGTATGAATGCATGTTTTTCAAGTTTTTTGTTAGCAATAAAAAACAACAGAATAAATGCAAGACAAATACGTTTAATTCTGAGGAATAATCCAGGCAAAGCAATGAAATGAAAATTTACTGTGTTAACTACATTTTCACTCAAGCAAAAAAAGATTTAACAGTGATAACTGAAGTGTTGACGTCAATGTGCATGTCTCACATTCCATCCATGCTTTATCAGAAAACAATACAAAAACAGTTTGCCCATACAAGAATAATCTTCATTGTTTTTAACATTTTACCCTCGTCAAAAACATGCCTGAAGAGGTTTTAGATGTCATCCATGCATGATTCAGTAGTTTAGCAATTTATCCCACGCTGATTGTGCTGTGATAGTGCTCTGAAGGGGGAACTTGGAAAACTCAGAAAGCCAAGTTACTTATCTTTCGCATCTGCAGTGACGCGTTCGTTGTATCGGATCGTTGTGATGAAGAAGGAGCTGAGTTGAAAGGCAAAGCTCTACATTTATTGGTCAATCTACAGTTCTACCCTCACCTATGGTCATGAGCTTTGGGTAATGACCGAAAGGACAAGATCACAGATACAAGCAGTTGTACTGAGTTTCCCGCGCAGAGTGGCTGGGTGCTCCGTTAGAAAGAGTCGCTGTTACACCAGAGGAGCTCAGAGTAGACCCGCTGCTCCTCCACGTCGAGAAGAGCAGCTGAGGCTTGGGCATCTATTCTGTCTATTCTGCTGTTAATACCCCATAGAAGTAAAATATCCCCTCTTCAAAGGTGCACTATGTAACATTTCTAGAAGAGGGTCCGCTACCTGCTTAATTCCATGGAAATGTTATTGCTTTGTCTAGAATATTCCACAATATATATTAAAACCTATATATTACAAGAGAGAGAAGTTACAGCACTACATTACAAGTCAGATCTGTGGAGATTCACCCTTATTCACAGAAGGAATTATTGCATTTTTAAGCAATAGAAACACCCATAATTAAAAAGTACTAGATGGATATGTTTAACATCATATCATGGAACATTCCAGGCAAAGAAATAATATCTCCATGGAGACAAAGAGGTGGCGGACCCTGAACCGAAAATGTTGCACAGTGCATCTTTAAAGGCTGTCATTTTATCTTCATGTACACACACACAAGCACACACACACAAGTAAGAAACAAGTACAGAAATAAACTTTCTCAGGGAAAGTATTCAAAAGTTTAAATATGGAACAACTAAATGCCAGTAGCTGCACATAGTAAAGCATCTCATATCTTTTACCATTGACTTTCCCATAATATGTGGAGGAGAGTAGTGAGTCATAAGGGAAAACATGACCAAAATATGGCCCACCGCTCTCACATTTTCCTGGACTCAAAGAGAAACAAATCATGGACTATGTGGAGATGGAGAGATGTGTGGTTTTTGAGCTGTGGAGTGTAAGAATATAGAAACAGACAATACAACTAAACTAAAAACTAAATTAACTGGGAGTATTTGAGAGTAATATGATACCACTAATGTTATATTTACATTAGTTACTACTACTGTAACATGCAACTCTACTATACCTGTTAATACAACAACTATTAAAGCTACTACAACTACTATAAATAATACAAATACAACTAGTACTGCTATTATTTGTCATGAATAACTCAAGTACTGTGGAAACACTACTGCTCCTTACTGCGATTATTCAGAGTGTATTTCTTTGTGACTAATTGGTCTATTGCTGTGTAACATCTCGAAATATATACAGTATAATTACTTCTACAGTTCCTACAACTAGTACTACTTTTACTAGGGGTGTAATGGTATATGTATTTATGCCGAACCATTTCAATACAGGACCGCCGGCCGCCTTGACAACAATTGTCCCCCGCCTTGACTAAGTCCCTCCGAGCCACGTGAATCCTCGCAAAACTACAGCCCCAGTCCTTAAACTTCATCCTGGAACTGTTAGTTAGCAACACTACTACTACTACCACTATTACTGCTTCTGTTGCTGCTGCTACTACTCCAACTCTTCTACTCCAGCTCCCAAAAACTACTACTACTACTACTACTAATACTACTACTACTACTACTACTACTACTACAGCTGCTTTCATTGTTAATGACCTGTGTGAACTCTTATTTCGAGTGAGAATGGGAGGAGCCAGACTTCCCCACTCCTCCTCCCTCTGTCCCTCCCTCCTTCGCTCTCTTCACGCTCCCTCTTTTCACTGACAGTTACAGCTCACAGGCATCGCCACAGCAACAGTGTTTTCTCAGCTAAGAAGAGCTCCTATGAACCTGTACTTAAACACAAGAGGGCCAGTGTAACCCAGCATTTTGGAGTAAACATAACGGCATGGAAAAGCTAACTGTGCTTAAGTAAAGGTAAGACTTATTTTCATTATGCTGAGTTAATTTAGAATTTGGGGGGAAAAGGCTTGGGTTAGAATACTTACTAAGACCTACTCTCTGCATTAATTTCAGGATATGATTTTGTAAAATGTTAGAGTATCTTAACAAAACCATGGCACAAACACTACCAAAAACTTCTTAACATAGTGTGAAAACTTAAAATAACAACAAAACTGGCTCAATACAACTGGTCACTGCCCTGTGAACATGCTTGAGCACACAAATCACCTCCCCTGTTGTAGTTCCAACTATGTCAGCTGTTTCTGGTCAGACTGTGTTAAAATAAAGATCAAATTAAAATCTAATAACTAATAAAGTAGTGCTTTCAATTAGCGTCACACACCCAGGGACTGCAGATGCAAAGTAGCTTGTGGATTTGCTCGATGAATTGTTGACAGCATCAGACAAATATATGACCAAAAAAGGGCAATACAGAGCTATAACTAACTTTAAACCGGGATTAAACCATGAAAGGATGTCTAGGCTACATCAAGACTAAACAAGGATTAAACCATGGACCACGCCAGACCAGACCAGATCAGACCAGGACCACCTCTTAAAAAACAGTGAAAGTTGTATCCAAGGTATAATAATCACTTTTGATTCAATAATTTCACTAGTTTTTATAAATGAAAGGACCCACATCACACTATTTTGTAACCTTCCGGTTTATAAGAGTTATCTTCTTCCTTTTCCTTTTGCTCATGCAGCAAAGATCAGGCTGATAAGGGTAGAAATGTGTATGTGAATATTATGTAAAATGTCAGATTGCTTTTGTTGTTCTTTTTAAACAGCATGAGCAATAAATAAAAAAGTAAATAAATTACAACTTTTCAAAGCTATGTCATAATTAGGGGTGTAACGATATCCAAGTCTCACGATACGATATCGTCACGGTACAATATTTATTGCGATATCTTGGAAAAGCTCATGATACAGTGGGGAGGCTCACGATTAGGGATGTAACAATATTCAAATCTCTCTGTACGATATTTTCACGATGTAAATCTCACGGTACAATATTTATTGCGATATTTTGTGGAGGCAAATCAGCTTAAACTGTGAATATTATGCGACTTTTTCCTTTTAAAATGCCTTGACAAGACTTTATCCAAAGAACTAAGACTTAAAAGTGCTGATACTGTTATTTCTTCTTGTAGTCTGCACTGAAATGGCGCAAAGGATCATGGTCTATGTAGTTCCCTCTGTCTTTTTTTTTTTAACTATTGTTGCTCCTTAACTCTTCATTTAAGCAAAGAGACTTATAATTCGATATATTGTGAGTGTTCACGATATTATTGTGAGAACTTTGACGATACGATATCACGATATTTCGTTTTTTGTTGCATCCCTATGTATTTATGTTAAATATCAGATTTGTTGTTGTTGTTGCTGTTATCTTTAAATAGCATTAGCAATAAATAAACTATTTTCAAAGCTATGATATAAATGTTGTTTCCTCATCAAAAACATACCCACAGTTTCACTTTGTTTCATTCACACGTGTTTAACCTTGCAAATTTCCTGTTTGCACCTTGTGGCAAAACAAGAAGTGCTCCATACGCCTTCACTAGAATCATTTTGATAAAAATCTAACACTACATGACATCACACGGAGGAACTAGGAGTATTTTGACCTTTGTAGACACAGACAGACAGATTATTAATAATTACTCAAATATTCAATTACTCAAGCATGTCTGACAGAAAACAAAACATACTTCCAGGCATGTATTTGATGAGATAACATGACTTAAAGGTGCACTATGTAACTTTCTGGTTGGTCCGTCACCTGTTTGTTATTATGGATACGTCATCGCTCTGTCTGGAATGTTCCACAGTGTGACAATAAACAGCTCTGCCTTACATTTACTCAATTACAGATGGGTTTATAGCTCAAAAATGGCGATAAAAACAACATTCTGACTGTGAGCGGGGTCGCCCCTCCACAGATCTGACCTGTAACTTGGTCTGGTTTGGTCTCCATGAAAATAGAAAGGTTTAACGCCATACTGAATAACATTCTAGACCAAGCAATAACGTTTCCATGGAGATAAGCGTTAGACGAACCCTCCACATGAAAAAAATTACAATGTGTGATTTTCATGAAAGAAATACTACTAATACTTGTAAATATACATCTAAAAGTTTTCCGTCAACATATTTTAAATCTCAAGATACAATAGAAAAACGTGTATGATCACTCATAAACAATAACTGCTCGGTAACTGACTATTAAAATAATAATTGACGCACTAACTACACCATGTCCTTAGAGCCTGTCCACTAATGACGTTCTCTAAAAGCAATATCAGTTTATCACTGACCCAGATCCCATTAGGATTCCAAAAAGCCATATAAATTCAAAGTCAATGAGTCACTTAGCTGGAACTTGTATGTGCTACCAGACAACAAACAATTAAACTACTACATCACTACTATTTCTAATGTATACGAAAGAAAGGTTGACTCATGTACTGCATTTACCGAAAATTTGTTGCAAAAGTTCTTGGGGGGGATTTTCACTTCTGTAAATACAACGGTATGGAGTAGGAATGCACAAACTATTTTTGAATATCTGAAAAGAAATCCCAATTTTTATAGATGGATTTTAAAAAATAGCAAAGTATCTAACAATATTAAAGTGAAAATGTACACTGTAACAACAAAATATACTATACAGGCACAAACCTGTTCCGCAGTTTGGCATTAAACCTGTTTTTCTTGATGACAAAAAGGTGATAAGTCAGATCTGTGGACACGCAAGCCAGCAAATACATTTTTAAAGCAATAAAAACACATGTGATTGAACAAAATATAGGTTAAAAGTAAAAAAAACAAAACAAACAAACACAACTTTCAGAGACCAGAAATGAGTTTTGCAAATCACTATAATTCTAACAACAGCTGGCATGCTAACAGCACACTTTGGCAATTTTATTTTATCATTTTCATCTCAAGAGCTGCTTATACAATATATCTGTACTGGGGTAAGAAAAGTTTTGCCCAAATACACGAGGAAAATGTAATGTTATACTATGGAATATGTGCTGCCAGAGTTGCATTCTCAACACAAATTTTAGAGGAAGGAAGCATTAGTCAAGTTAGACAAAAATTTCAACATTTCTCAAGTAACTCAGATGTGTAATATCCTCTTCTCTGTTTGTATTGCCGACAAAGCAATGTTTGTCCATTTCCTGGTTCTTTGACAATAAAAATTGTGCCACAATTTTGAGAACCAAAACTCAAGTTTATATAAATACATTGTTTCCTCGTACTATTTTCTGCATAAATAGAAGCTGTTGCATGAACTCCCTGCAGGTGTAGTCTTGTGAGTGCTGTTTGGGTCAGATACATAGAGATACGTAACAGTTTTGAGAGCTTTTGCCATGCCCCCTTTTAGTTGACTAAAACATCATACAGATTAGGGCTCGGCAGCATTAAGAGGTTGCCGATATGGTACATACCTCGATACATAGGCCACAATACGATCTCTTGATACAGTGCACTTTTGATTTGATACGACATATTTCAAAGTGGTTCAATAAAAAATAAAGGCTGAACCATGGCTGTGATACTAAAAGTCTTTGTTAAACCACTTATTGTGCAAATTAATATGAAAATTGATACAGCAGCCCGTGATATTGATACTGTATCATCACGTTAAACAATATATTTCAGTATTTTTGCACAAATTATCTTCTATTTCTTGAATGGTCAAAAGTCCTAAAAATGGCATCTGTGACTGAAACTGTATCCACTCCTCCCATCTGAAATCATGACATCCAGTTCTATGTTGTGAGCGTAACCTTTTGTCTTAAGTCAGTGCAGCTTTAGTCAGTGTTTTGATATGACATAAACATATGAGCCATGTGTCCAGACATTTGGAAAAACACCACACTGACACACAGCATAATAACATACATGGCAAAATGCATTGTGAAAGCCAAATGAGGTTTCTCAATGTAACGCAACACACGACGGAAGTGTCGCCATAGCATCCAGTATTTTTGTAAGGTTTGTACTAACAAAACAGCAAAAGGCAGGGTTCCCACTCTTTTTCACTGACAAAATTTCAAAACGTTTTCATGACTTTTTCATGGCCTAAAGTGAATTTTCACTCTGCATGTGTAGAATTGATCATACTTTTAGGTCTAAATATGACAGGGGGTCCCCAGGTTTGACTACGCCAAATTTAAGACCTTTTAAAGACCTTTTTAAAGACCACTTACAGTGCAGGTGAAAAACACCAGATCCAATTCTAATAATGACCAACTAACTACTATATATCTAGAATCTAAGAGCCACTGTAGATTAAACCAACACTTCCTCATGATCCATCCAACGTCTTCCTCCACTCTACTGATTGTTTACTCATTGCCGCCGGCACCAGAAACCAAAGTATTGTTCGGGATTAGTCCAAATTAGACGTTCATTCAATATACGTAATTTCACGTTGTTGTGTTTTTCCCCCTCCCTCCGTTTAACATTGCACTGCAGCTGGGTTGAGTATACTAAAAAAAAGGCTAATGAAATTTAAGACCTTTGTGGAAAAAAAAAAGACTTGAATAACATACTTTTTAAGACTTTTAAGACTCCGCGGCTACCCTGTATGAAATGTAAACCCTTTCCACTCACCTTATGGTTTGGTATTATAGTTTTTTAACATTCAAAATACTGTCAGTGCATTTATTGTTGTCTCTTTTAAACAAAAGGTGCATAAGTTCAGAAATAATCCTAATAGCCTAATGAAAACTTAACAGAGTGCCATAGTTGTGTGAAAGAGATACCAAAATTCAATTTCCATGACTTTTCCAGGATTTCCCTGAAAGAAAATAGGGTAATTTTGCATAACTGCTTTGACTAGGATTTTCCACACCATGACATGGAAAAAAAAAAAAAGAAAAGAATCTCATTTGTGTTGCCTGTTCCAGACTCTCTCCGATCTGAATGGTCACGATCAAATTATCATT